GCTGTTGTTTGAATGTGTCGGAAACTCTCCATCTCTTTTGACATTTCTGTGAAAACGCTGATATGCCCTGACTTCTGGCTTACTGTGACAAACCACGTTGAACCGCAATTGTTTTAGTCCATTTTCTTTCTTGTGAGACTCAGTTTTTAGAATTTAAATCTTCACATCTTCGGATCTGCGTTAGGAAGTCACCAGACCGACAAGTCCTTTCCCGTAAATTTGTGTGCTTATGCACACAACTTTATATCCCTTCCTACGCAACCCCTCACCCTTCTTCCGTCGTTTACGTCCACACCACTACATGATGTTGTTTTCGTCCACGTGTAAGGCTTTCGTCCTTTTGTACTACAGGCCCTTTTTTATATCCCTCGACGGGAAACTGCGCAGTATCCCGTCGAGGGATATATATGCGCGCAGATATTCACATGTAATGATGCGTGACTCGATCGGATAGCGACTTTGGTAACTTTGTCGATATGCCCCTGATACCAACATGTGGAGATAGAGCAACTTAGACGAAAAGTGGTTGCCGCGCTCTGCACACCAGATGGATATGTAACGTATACCCTTCCTTTTAACTTAAATCCCCCATGCATTGCGCTCACTGCCGTATGTCTCTGACCTCTTCTACCATGTATTAACTGGTTCCGACTGCTTTGGACCCGAAACCGAGCCCACATATACCGTGAACACAAACGAGTAGTATTTATCGAAAAACTTTTTGAAAATAAGTAGAAAAGTTGGAAACACATCATACAAAAATATTATTTATCACGAGATTCGCCCCCCATTGAACAGGTGCCGTCACGTTGACGCTCACGGTTCGGGTACCTGTTCCGTAAGGCATGTATGCATTTAGCTAACCATCTACTTCTGATGCTGACTGACCTTGATGTCTTTCCTGCGGCGTCCAGGGAGCGCTTCAGGCGTCTTGTACGCGCGGCCTTCAGTGCACAAAAAGTCGCACGTTCCCCAGATTCTTTTTTATGTAAATATCTGCGTGGAGTAGCTTTAGTAGGGTTTGCAGTAACTCACTTATAATCCGTTTGCACAACTCCGAACTGCATAGGACAACCTTTTTTACAACCCCTGAAGTTCATTTCAGGGGCGACATTGTCGTCAAATACAGCATAAAGTAGGCGTTTTACGAACTCGCCCTTCGAAGCGAACGGGCGAGTTCTACGGGCACAGATATCTGAGACCACCTCTAATGATGGGTTCAAGTGAGAATCCGATACGTCAGGCCAATAAACTTATTGTTTCATTTATCGCATCTTCTACATTTGAAATCGCCAGTATTTTTCCCTCCGGGGCGGGCAAGGAAGAATAACGAAACAAATCCTTCATGTCAGATGCCCCTGTAAGTCTGTTCATAAACTTCCTGTTGACCTCGATAAAATCTGTCAGGCTGCTGGTCGGCCGCTCGATAAGATTAGCAGCTGTAAGTCTCTCAATTTCTTACTGAAAGGGCGGGGGGTGGAGTAATGCTGCCGGATTCGCTGGCAACTCCCCACCTTTCCTTTCTCAGGTAAGGGGCTTCAGCAGCAGTTGCGTTTGTCATAGCTGACGCCTGGTCAGGATACCTAGCTTGACGTTCAGCACATCGAAGACATCGTCGTTGTCCTGGATGTTTGACACTTCGGCAGCTAAAGAGCGTCTTAGTAGCATCATACTAGCGTTATACCATAGTAGTAAACTGTGCCGAGATGATATCCAGTGGATATTTGTTTTTCGAGAAATGTGTATCGACAAAATACTGATTTTGTCCGCCATCCCAATACAGCGTAGATATCTATTTTTCGAGACAGCGGGACGTCAGACACTGCACACACTCCATTTTCTTAATGCAATACCCATATTTTCCTCTAATGCTTTCAATTGGCCTTTGTAATCCCTTTCCGGCCTTCTTAATTCACTACCGTACCCGCAAATTGAAGGTCCAAATAACAACTATGCCACCAATGGTTAATTATTCCGAAGACTGGCAAATTGGAAGGTTTTATTTGAAAAATAAGGAAAAAACATATCGACACATAGTGGTGGTTGCGAGGGCGGAGGGCGATCCCCTGTGGAAGGTCCTGGGCTGTTTTATATCGGACAGTTGTTTTCAAACATTTTGATGTTGACTCACCTGTCCAGTTTGATCTAATGTTGTTCTTTTGAACGCATGGGACGTAGTAGTCCAGCGACCTTTTGAGTCGCTTTGTAAACGCGGACTGAGGGTTTGATAATCTGACAGTGTCGATGGTATTTCAGACTCCGAACACTTCTACATAGAGACAGTGTCAAACTGGATGACCTGCATACCCAATATGACTTGGTATACTGCCGACCGACGGATTCTTTCGTTTATCTTCCGTCCTTTAAATTTGAGCTGTAGGCTAATTTCGTCTCCGAAAAACACGTAGAATATGCGCTTCACAAAGTCGTCCAGATTGTTACGGCCTAATCAGTTGAGATAAGGAACTATATAGGGATAAAGGGAATGACATACCAGCTGGTTGATGATCGTGTGTCCTCTTTTTGTGCATTTACTTGCCGGAATTCCACAGCTATGCTTGTCGACTACAGTAATGGGTTTCTGGGCAACGGGGTCAGTCAGGTTATCAGGAGGTTGCTTTTAAGTACCCCAGTGCTTCCGATTCCCGTAGGCGACCATGCAATCAGCGATTGCTTTCTGCTAGGACGTCTATTTTTCTAGCCATCCCCGCTATTTGTTGAATTACTAACATCATGGCCCTATCCAAGTCTGCCAACCGGCTGTTGGAGGGCGGCTCCTGAAACTCTCAGAACAGCGTCATGCGGTGTAACTTACAGGCCAAGATATGCCCTCTCCCCTGAAATAGTAAAGTGCTTCATCCTGGGTGGACCTACATTTCCGCGGGGAATTGATTCTAGTCGGATGACCCATGGCGATGTCAATAAACGCACAGGAAAAGGCCGAATGAAGATTAATCCACTCTGAACAATTCCTTGCAGTGCTCGCAAATCTCACTGTGTGTACTGCGTTTGTAGGGCTCACGAGCACTGTTAACAAAAGCGAAAGGATAGTAAATGGCTTCCTAAAAAACTATCAACAATTTCGATTAAAATATGTGTACCTTTTGGGAAGCAGACAAACTTACTGAGCAAGGGTGCACGGCTGATAGTGCTGTCAAGATCAGCCGTACACACTTTTACCAAGGAGGACTGTTGTGGATGATCGAAGTAGTTTTAAATGTTTATGAACTCACTAAATATGCGCAGGCACCTACGTCCGTCAAACAATGGGTTCTTGACACAAACTATCTTATAGCCAATGCCATTGCATCGATTGGCCGGTATGATGTTAATCCAAGAACTCTGTGAGCACAAACAGATATTGTTCCACTGTCGTAGCATCCAGCAAGAACTACTCCTGCATTATATTCATGAAGTAACCTAGGGGACTGTAGCCTATAATGCCCGTGGGTGGATACATCGACCTCGCCGAGTAGCCTAGCAATCTGCTGCAGAGATCGAGATGGACCTATGTGTAAACGCTTTAATCTACCCAAGAAACTTTCGAAAGGGAAAGTAGAAAAAGAGTCTAAGACACCGTGGCGTTCAGCTTCGTCTGCAATCTGCAAAAAGCTGTGCACATTGTATGCCACGTGTCTCACGCAGAATAAATTGGAAAATTTTCGGATGGATAATTTCAACGGCTGCCTGCAATAACCTAAATTTCCGTTACATTTAGTATTAAACGCAGAGTCGTAACCTGCAATAAAAAAGTATAAAATGCCTGTGAGGCAGCATATCAGAGAGAACAACAACACCTCAATAGAACAGAAACTGCCTGAACTCCGTAGATTTCCATGACTCAAATCCACTTAATGATATACTACGTTGAGAATATTCAGCCAGTAGGTAAAAATTAATGGTGCGAATTTTGTTGTCTATAGCCTCGACTTCCACTACTTCCAATTTAGATGGCCAAATACGACCGCTGGCTTTTGAACGATAACTCCTAACCCACACACTGAGCAGCTTCTTCACTATGCCCGAGCAAACTAGGTGTAGTGGATCTTGGGGAAAATTAGATTACCGGACACAACTATAGATAATCCAGCAATGTGATCGTCGTCGTTGGGTTTCAAGACGTCCTCTCCATTCCTGCAATTATGATTTCGCGCCTCATTTTTCTTTATTGCATTGCCATTTTTATTCTACTTATATTCGAAAAACACAGTAGGGTTACTTACTATACATATTTCTGTCATGTTGGGAATTCCAATAACTCCAGTCGATGTATACCGCGAGTTAGATTACCATTTAGGAAAGTCTATCTTAGCCACGACACCAGAGGAGCCTATACCCTCTTCCCCCGTTAACTCTTGTCCCAAGATTCAATAAGTCCGTCCCCATTTGGCAGCTGCATAAGCAATATAAAAAGAGTCTGCAGTTCAAAAATACGAGATCTTTACACGAGAACGGCAATGATGTAGTGGTGGGGACTTAAAACGACGGAACAAAGGCATGGGAAGGCGTAGGGAGGGATATGAAAGCATACAAGTTAACGAGCGGTGACTTATCAGTTTGGTCACTTCGTAGCGTGAATCCGAGGGTGTGCATTTTAGGCCTGTGCTGACGGCATTCCTTACGGCGGTTAATTTTGGAGCTCCAGAAGTGTTAAAACTTTGGATGGCCCCTGCATTTCTTTCTCGATAGTCAACCTTTTATGTTAGCTCAGTAGTCGACTTTCCTTATGAGCCAGTCGTTTGCATACTGGTGATGTGCCGGTGGGCTATGTTTAAATGTTCTGGACGGAAAATTTTACAGCAGTCAAGCAAGAAAGACAGCACCTTTGCTGCTTTTAAAAGTTAGTAACTGGTTTGAATAAGAGAAGTCAAACTCAAATATTTGAAATCTCTAGGGAGGTAAATTTACGTGCAACCCGAAAGTTTTGTCTCAAAACTTACTGTTTTGTTTAACTTCGTTCTTCATCTTTAAACAGTTGCGCCCTTGAAGAATTTTCCGGGATGCCGGGTACTCCTCCGAAAGCAAAAGTCGTAGGTAAGATTTCTTCTGGATTTTCGGCTGACATGTTTTCCTCGTAAGTTCCATCCCGCTATCGGCAGAAGAGAACTACTAAGGTAATTCGTGCTTTGCGTGATAAAGATCCTTGTTCAGCCTAAGCCGCATGTTTCCTCCCCGCACGCCGAGAAGGAGGGTTGCGAGCCATCCTTTAGTATTCACGTGAGTCTGAAACGTCTGCGTCCTTACTAGTTTACAACTTAAACCAGGTCAGTTTTATGTAAGTACTTTGTTCAAATGTTCCACCGACTTCGTCTTGTTTCTCAAGTGGCCGAGAACACTCGGATAAAGTGCGCCGAAGTCACCTATTACATTAGGCAGTATTTGTCAAAGCAAGTACGTTGGCTTTCCCCTCTGCCTCTCATTCCCTCTCGTGACGACACTTGTTTTACCCCCCGGGGTTCGTTTGTATCCTGTTGCTTTCGATTTTGGTTGTCTTATCGCGAACACTTTCTTAAAATCAAGTTTGAACCAAAGCGCTGTTATGCGTAATACCTCCGTCCGGAACAGCAGTAAATAGTATTGTGGTCATTGTAAGTTCACATCCATTTAGGAAGCAGATACACACCCGATTGGTGCCATCAGAAATATCGAGCGTCCGAAAAGAATGCGTCGACATTAATCACTACCCAGGGGCAAAACCGTTCCGAAGGACCCTTCTTGGGTGCAGATATCTGCATTAGGGAGGATCTTGTTCTCAACTTTAAGACGGTATTCGTTTTATCTATTTCGCAGGCTCGTTTTTCTCGGTTGACAGAAATACCCGACGGAATTCTGTGAAGGCTGATAATGTGTCTCCAAACCCCTGAGCCAATTCAGGTCGTATAATCCGTAAAGAGCCTGGTATCTAACCTCCAAACTTAGCCACCGTTAGCGTGGCTCCTCAACAGTTCTTTGACCCCAATGGACGCGCTTTTGACTTCGGAACTCAGCAATCATCATGTCGCGCATGCAAGACAGAACTTCTTTGTTTCCGACTTTGGCTATAACGGTAAGGTTAGATTTCTCAGGAACTCAACTGATTAAATAGAGCCTGTCTTTGGTTAGATTATCGTCGGATCTCAGAAGTCAAGGTACTGACCAACGGCATTAGTCATCAAGGATTTCGTCTTCACCTGGGTATGTGGAGATCTTATGCGGTCGACTCGGCCGACTTGATTCTTCAGTTATACCAATAGGACAGGGATTCGTGTTTATGAGGTCATAGTCACAACCATCTTGCTCTGTGCGCCGTTGATCTTCAACAACTCGAGATGTGACACGTAAAAAGATAACTGCAGTGCGCCATTCACCATCTCAGACGGTGAGATAGCCCGCTCTGTAGGTCGTAAGTCGATACTGCTCGCGACCCTATGCCCCTTAATTTCGGTTCCAGACGGCACCTTCGTGGTCTCCAAGTAAAAATAATTGAACAGATGTAAATTCCGGTCTGGAGGGAATTTTGTTCAAAAATAACCGAGGATCTACCCTCGGACCTCCTAGTACGTCGCTGTAGTTTGCGAGTCATTGCATTTCATAGTTGGCCATACCAGCTCTGTTCATATCTAGTCTAAATATACAACCAAGTTCTTCGACTTTCGATGTGTAAAAGTACCATATAATTTGGCGGACAGATCAATGGCAAGGGAGTACTCTGCGACGCAGTTGACGAGCAACAGTATGCGCTGCTAGGCGCCCAGAGGTTAATCTCTAGACTCCTCGTTGGGTGTCTCTTGTAATGTCAGCCTCGCTGGACAGTGTTTCTTAAGTCGGCGCACTATAGAGGGAAGGTTGGTTGGTGAGCCATTTTGCAACCGAAGCGAGCAAAAATTCACCACAGTATACAGTAAGGTTATTTGAGATCGAACATTCAGCTGGATTTTTTTTACCAACCCTCGTATCGTTGGCCAACAGCCGCAGTAATCACATTGAATCATCACCTGTAACAGTCTTGAGTGGTTTGCATTTTTGACGCCTGCATTTAAAAGGCTGCCATCGCCCCTTTGCCGACAGTCTGTCCAAGTTTTGGGTGTCTTGGTTACTTCCATTGCTACTTTATTCCACTACCTCAGCTCATAGCTTAATGATGCGTCTATTGTTAGTTGTCAGTACCAGTTATCGCCGAGCGTGAAATTTTTGTGCATGTTTTCCATGTTGTTGAGGATTTTCTAGAAAAGGAGATCCTGTGATCTCTGTCGTCCTTAGTCGGAGATACTGCCGGGGTAGTATGCGTCGGCTGTCTCGGCGGCTTTTGCGCTAAACCTTTTTGTCAGCGCACAATAAATAAACGCCCCTTGGCGAAACAGTGTAAAAAAACCGACCACATAAACCGTGTTTTGCAGTAACTCTTTAACAGAAAATATTAACGAGACGATATATCGCGAAGACTAGAAAGACTGATGACTATCTATCACTTATTACGCGTTTTCAACCGGCAGTGTCCAAACTGCGCGCCGGACAATCAGGAGGCAGGTGTTCCTTTTGTAGGGTTTCTTGGCGTGCGACTGCCTTCGATGGCTCTAGTTTACAATTTTAAGGCATGTTCCGCGCCGTAACTAGATTGGTGGATGTCTCTTCCATTACACGTATCATTCTTAAATAAGGAATACCCAATTTGACCACTGACGGTGCCTCTGAACCCCTACTGTTTAGTATATTTTCTTAAACCTACCTCCTTGCTTAGCTTGTTCGCCACTGTTTGCCCCTCTTAAAAGGCCACCTAGCGTCTGCAAACTGTTTAGCTCGAGGTAGACTGTCCTCTCTGTCTTCCGAAGTGCTTGACCTTTTTACTCTAGCATGAACTGCTCTTTTTCAGGATTCCGTGGCTTCTGCGATATTTCACGACGCAGACTCATGCTTGGAATCTTCGCGTCCTCGGCGTGGACTTCGAAAATCCCTCTCGGTGCCTAATTTACTAGGCGAAAGTTCTTATATTGGCTCATGTTTTACGTCTGTGGCTGGGGAAGGGACACTGCTGGAAGAACCGAGCTGCGAGTACCGAGCCTGGCAGGCCCTTTCGAAATTTGCCCTAAAAGCCCGCGACATTTCGGTCAGGACTGAAGAGGTAGGCGTGGGGTTAGATAGCTTTCAAATCTAACGACGAAAGCATTAGTTGAAGACAAACAAACTAGTTCTCAAACTATTTTTTCTCTGCCTCAAGTCCAAGCGGACTCAGTGTTTGGCAGATGTGGAGAGACTGGAGCAGTTGGTCGCGCGCAAACGTCAGACAGATGCATGGTTTCTCAAATGGTTGGATGCTCAGCGCGCTATCGACTCACAGGTAGGCGCTTCTTATCGTAGTAAACGCCCGCTGTCTCTCTGAGTACTCTTCCATGCGCCCCCAGATATTAACAAAACTCCAACTATTTTCTCTAGATAGTAGTACTGGTCAGACTGGAAAGCATTCTGAGGGGCGCGGAATCGGAAGACCAATCCGGACTTATTGCGCTGCTGCGAAACTTCAGTGAGGCTTCCCTCCTGCCGGCGAGACAAAGGTTGCCTACAAGCGGTCTCCTCTACGCCTCTGAAGAGGAAGTGGTCAGCATCGCAAAGCTCGCCAAAATTGCACAGGATAAGGTTTGGAGCAGGGTCTTATTGCTTCTTCCCAATAAAATTTTTAAATTGACTTTTCCGTACAATAGAGATCCCATGAATCTGAGTGCTGCATTGGTGTCAGATAACTTTTTGTTCTTAAGTTCTCTCACCCTAATTCCCTGCTCCACCGTTTTTTTTCAGTTCTCAGTCTCTATCAGTGGGGAACTACAAGGCCTAAAAGACTTGTCAAGACAACTCAAGAAAGTTGCGGATCTCATCAACTCCCAATCATCCGTTTACGAAATAGAGAATTATGCAAAGCTCAAGGAGGCCTACCGACTTCTGACTTATTTGGTCTCCTTGAAAACACAAAAACTGCAGTCCGAACTTCTGAAGCGTCTGTCCTCACAATTCACGTAAACTCAACTGGAAGGATCTCCACCAAATTTACCTTTTGATAAAACCATATTTTTCTGGAACTTTTTGTGAATACATACTTGTAGCTCACCTTCGTCAGTTACACTCCTTTCTCCTGGCCTGACTGTTTAGATACTGCTGGCTGCAATTCCAAATCGGAGTCAAATACCCTGGGAACCCGTGCCCCCTAACTCTTTGGATAGACCCTCACGACAGGTATTGCTCTTGGAAATTCATCAGAGTCGAGACAGACAAATCTGACGATGCGAGAACATCATAAATGGTGGAAGGTATTTCCTGATTTAGCGCAACATCCCCCTTTCGAACACTTCCTACTGATAGGTCGTAGGATAGTGGTAAATTTAGTCAAACAACTTGCAAAAGGTGAATTCAGTAGCTTCTCAAACACCGTTCACTTCTGGTAGTTCATCCGCCGCAAACAGGGAGCACCACAATTATTCTACATAGGGTGTATTGGTGATTTGTGCTTGAATCTAATTAATGTAGAGCGGGCTCGTGCTGCATTTACCGCACGCGGTAGCAAAACGAAATCTGACGACGATTTCCACCGTGTACCTCGCAGCATGGCCGGCGCAGGTACGGTGACTGACGTGTAGATTGGTCTACAGTAGACCTGAACAGCGCCTACGACACTCTCTCTTCTTACCCAGCCGCTCACCTGAGCCCCGTCTCAAGAAGACTGGAGGCGATATCTGGCGCACTGAGAATTTTAAACAGCCCGTCTACGTCCGTGCACAAAGGACCAGGGTTTCACAGAGCCAGTGGGGGTCTGAATCCAAACTAGGTGGTAGCTTCATAGAGGCTACATTAAGGTGTCATTGCAGCCCGACTCTCCGTCCTAAGGGTAGGACCGAGCTATCCAGTCATCTGGCAGCCATCCAAGCTAGGGCTTCTAGCGCACCGTGATAATTCAGGAGCGCGTCGGATTGCTCATAGTGAGGAAGATGCGTTGAGTGCCGTGGGGACGGAGTCCCCGATTCGACCTGGTCCTCCCCTGCTCGGATACCACTCATCTGGTGCGAGGATAGCGCGCAGTGGCCGACAGCTAGATGGCCCGTCTGCGCGTGCCACACGCGACGTAGCCTCCGCACAGCGCGGGTTTCTCCCATAAAGGCGTGGGATGCACGGATCTCATGCACGAATGCCAACAATGCCATGTTACGAAGGAACCATGGGACCTGATTCACATTCCTTCAGACGACCACTCCACAGAAACACAAGGTCGACTGTGATGTCTGAGTTTTACCGCTAACTGGCAACCTTCCAACCCATGACGTTGAGTGTGTCGTGATAGAGTCCAGCGCGTTTGATTTCTCATAGCAAGGAATAGGCTGGAGCGTCATGGGTTCGTATTCACCAGAATCGACATCACCCCCTCTCGCAGACACCAGTCTGCTGCCTGAGCCGGTTAGTCATCTGGTCCGGGGGTTGAACACAAGTGGCTGACAGAGTTAAGCAGTCTGTCTGCGCGTGCCACACACGACATGGTCCAAGATAGCTGTGGTTCCCCAGCCGCTCCTCACGGTAGGCGTCCACCAGCACGGCGGAGAACATGAGGCTGAAGAAGGTGGGGGCATTACGCAGCCTTGCCTCATTCCATTGGTTACCACCAGCGCTTCACAGATTGCTCCGTCGGTGCGGGCCATCCCATCGTGAAGTCGGCGCACCATTAATGTGAAGAGATCCGGAGGCCTAAATTCCAGCGTTGTTTTCCAAAGTCCATTTCGGTTAACCATGTCGAAGGCCATCATTAGATCGACGAAGGTGGAATAAGAGTTGGTCTTCCTCTCGTGGTACCTCCCGTAGTTCGCAGGCTGCGATGATCATGTCGACGGTTCCGCGGTTCTCGCGGGAGGCTTCTGTGATTCCCACAGACGTGTCGGTTTCCTTTGCGCCTGCATATATGAGGAACGGTCACTTCTTTGGAGTCCAGGGGAACCTGTCCTTATTGCGATTCGAGTTTGTCCATCAGCTGAGGGCCGCCATACTTGCAGGCTTTAGCCGGGATTAAGGCGGATTCCGATGATTTCCCACTGAACATTCGGCGTACAGCCTAGATTATTTCCAAGGGGAAGGAGGGAATACATATCAGTATTGGTCTCCACTTAAGCTAGTCAGTCTATAGCGGCGTCGGGATCGTAGATGGGCGGTTGACGACGCTTCTCAAGTGTTTATTCCAGCCCTTTTGAATTTGCAATTTCGCAAGAAGTGAAGATTACATCTGAACTGAGTATCGGAACGGTTCCTTTGGTGTGGGGACGTAGGCTGCCTTGATGTAGACGATGAAATGTTCGTTTCATTGTGGTCCACCTACGTTTCGATCTCTTGGATCTTCCCGTCCACTTTAGTGTTCTACGTCTCCCGCAGCTTTTGCTGCATCAGGCGACGACATTGGGAAATCCCTCTTTGATTGCATTGTATCCGTGGTCGATGTAAGCCTTTTGCATTCTATCCTTTTCGGCCAAAATGTTGCTGGCACATGCATCGTCAGATCAGCCTTGGTGTTAACGACGTGCGTGACCTAAAAGGGTCCAGGGTGGTGGATCGGATGATTTCCCGCAGTTGTCACCACTGTGTCTCCACAGTGGCGTTATCGTCCGGAGCCTGCCGGTCCTCCTGTCGTTGGATCAGTTGATTCCTGAAGTCGAAGCGGTGAGCAAGTAAATTCAGCAAAACAATATCTAACTTACCCGGTGGTTGCCTACCCTGTGCTGTCCTGCGGGGTTGCAGTCGAACCGTCATCTTGGAGATGACGGGGGGGTCATAAGCCTAGTATCTGAAGTCGCGATCACAATATGTCGTTCAGGGGGAGGACAGGGGCGATGCCTGCGTCGCGTTACCCTACCTTTGGACGACCGCCCCAAAAGGTGTAACCGACACCCACCTTCGTCAGATAATTCTGTTCGGAGAACCGGGTCCACTTTGCGACGCATCAGTTCTCCAGCGAATTCCGCCTTTATCCTTTTCGGACGGTTGCTTTGCGGACTGTCTAAAGGAGAACGAACATTACAGGCTGTCCCCAATCCCAGCACGAGCTTGTTGGTAGGTTAGGCCAGTCGACCAATACATGGGATAGGGGGAAAATGGTGAGGTCGACTCTGGGGAACCAATCTTTGACACACCACTGCATTCCTCACTATAATAAATTGGACACGCAGAAATAAACTACGACGCGTCAAATGTCGTGGCTTGTGAGGTTGCCAACTTACGAGGTAACTCGGCCCTTCTCGGAACTGAGGCATCTGGGACGGCTCCTTAGTGTGACCTCTATGGCGCTCTCGCGCATGTGAAATCTTGGCCGCCCTTACAGTAGCTTGTTGCATGAAGCGAGAACCAGGTTGCGTATGGCGCGCTTTAACGGGCTGTTTAGCTTTGCCAGCCGACCGAAACCACCGTCAGTCGTCTTGACATGATCTTGCCATCAGAGTCATGCGGATGAGGGAGTATGTGATGCAGAAGTCTGCCTCAACAAACTAGTTCACGCGCAAGTCACTTTTCCGCGCCAACCTCTTGAGGCTCACGGAAGACGCCGTCGTTCGCGGTGGTCGAAGTGTTGCGTAGAGTCGAGTTCTCCCGTCAGTGGGCGACCCTCCAGGTTACGACCTTTTGGACAGGTCGGAAATCGAGCTAAGCGCAGTGTCTGGTGCGGACTAAGACTTAGGCCCATAGTGTGCCTCTTGTGCACTCAAATACGACAGTTCGACTGTTGTTGCCGTCGTCGGCAAACTTCACCGTTAGTGCCTTTTATGAAGGATGGGTGGCTTTGATACGCCTGAGTTGGCCTATCCGGAGCCCCGGTGTGCCGATACAGTCCTGAGCGAAATTCCAGACATCGATCCACCATTGACACTGCGATTGGTTTGCAGGTGACTTATGAGGTCGGTACGTTTCCAGTTGTAATGGGGACAAATTGCTATTAAGCACACTGTTGAAGTTCTGTTATTGTCCTGATGGTGCGTTCATTGTGGTGATTCCGATAGCGTTTGACTAGGAAGAATCAGGACTTGGGGGCAATTTGGATGAGTTTCTATAATGATTTCTGTGCGCGGAGCCAGTTGGTCGTGCTGATCTTGCCGTGAGTCCGGAAGTGTTCAGGAAGAACAGTCCCTACCTTGAACTGGCGTCCGCAGTGAAGATATTTACCGGGAGTCAACGAGATACTGCTCCTGCACCTTTGTCATTTTGTATATTCCGTCGGCCTCAAGGATGACTGCCCCAGTTTTAACGGCTGTAAGTCATACCTACCGTTCCAAAATTTTCAAACACTTATGGATCATTTCGAAGAAAATTTACCATCGAAATTTTGCATGAAAACGCTGAATGGAAGTTGCGTGTACGATATATTCGCAAATGTTAGTAATGATGGAGAAGCCGAGGACCTACTTATTGCTGCAAATAGCCTACACCCCAAGACTGAATTCACAGTTGAGAAGGAACGGTCGAACAAGCTATCTTTTCTGGGCGTTCTTATATTTAGACAAGAAGACGGCTCAATCACACGGTCAGCTTTCCACGAGAATACGTGGAAGGGTCAATGTTTACACTTCGTGAGCTCTATACCAGTAAAAAGGGGACGCAACGTCGTCTACACTACCGAAGAGTGAGAAGCAGTTATTTCATTGAAACACTGGACGCGGAATGTGTTTGCCTCAAAGGAAACCTGGCTAAACGTGACAATCCAGCATGTTTCACTCAAAAATACAGCAACTCTTTGCGACCAAAGCTGTCGGAATGGTCAGATCCGAGAAGCCCGTTCTAATATCATTTCCCTTTACGGGCGACGACATTTAAAATGTCATCAAACGATGATCGTGATACACCACTAAAAAAAACTTATATTGTCGCCAGACTCACATTCAGTTGTTCTACTAAGACTTCCAGTCCAAAGGACGAAGGATGTCTTGCCATTGCACACTACCTCGAATTCCGTTTATGAAATCGGATGCGTTTTTGGGGGCAAATACACTGGTCTGATGCAACGA